CGCACAGTAAATGAAAAAAAATGTTTATGACGTTTAGAAAAAAAATATTTAACCTTTCTACTATTCCGCTATTAGTTTTATTTTTCATTTTTTTCAAGTTTTAATATCTTAATTTTTAATTATACTTGAGAAAACTATTTTTTATTTTGTTTTCTACAACAATGTGACGAATAAAGATACGTTTTATGGAAAAATTTTTTTCAAAAATGGACAAACCTAATCAACATCAATTAATAAATCCACGTTGATTAAAAAAAAAAATTGTCCAGAATATGAAAAACATTTTCAAGGAACAATTCATTGTTGAGAGACAAGAATTCGTCAAAAAAAAAGGATAAATTTCATAAAACCATTGCATTTGAAAGAATGTTAACTAATGAACATGAATACAACTAACTATATTGTACCTTACTAATGTTTTTTGTATTTCAGTTAATAATGAAAAAAACTAATGCTTTGAGCAAAGACTACATGGATGAAAAAATAATAAAAACTAAAAAGTATTATTTGAAATGAATTAAATTCAATATTGTTATAGTTAATTCAATGGTAGCAACTTAAGTAACTACGTAAAGATTACTATATTCTTCTATTCGTCATTTAACTCTCAATTTAACTCGAATCTAAATGCTCATTTAAAATTTATGACACAGTATGTCCAGGGCACACAAGGATTCTGCACATTTTCATTATGCACGAGTTATTATTCACAAAAAATTGTTAATAGTGATTGTAAATAGCAAAAAATTTTATTTCATTTATTTTATGTTTAGAGGTTTTTTGAATTTTTTTGAATTAATCATCTCTGTACTATCATAAAATGTACAATGACGAGAGATTAGCGTATTACTAGTATAAGTAGCATTATCGTGAGATCAAAAGTAATCATTATAACGAAAATCTTGGGTAATCTTACAACAAAAGTATGATACATTTAATTAAACCCTTTAAGATTCTTTAAGTACGGTGAAGTATACTTTCAAAATCACAAAGACGAATTTTTCGTGTATGTGCATTTAAGATGCACTACTGGAAGCATTCAAGAAATCTCTTTATATTCTATACTGCTACTTACTGCAGCAGATGGTGGGAAGGGCTGCCAAGTAATATAAAAAATTAATCAGTACAGATAAAATTAACCTTTTTTTGTGAATAGTTTTGTCAGAGATTGAAGAGGATCGTAGAGGGATGTGACCTAATCCACCCAAATCTCTGTATATTACCATTTAAGTAAATATGTAAGAAGTATCCATATTATTAAAAAGAACTAGTTAAGTAATATGTCAGATTTTTTTTCCTTATATTATTTCTCTCGAAAGTTTGGTTACACGTAACTACAAGAGTTTTATTTGTTGTATGGTTAGTTGTAAATCCTCATATTGCATGTCTGATTTTTTTCAATATGTATAAATACAGTTTTAAGATGAAAAAAATTTTTTTAAACCTTACTTTTTTGGTATAGTTGATCTTGCAACCAAATAATTTTTTTTTCGTAATTAATAAATTTGAAAATAGTGATGATAAGAATCACTTAATAGGCATGTCTAATATTAGTAGCTTACATAAGTAAAAAAAAAAAATCAAAGCTGTTGAAGCGAAGAATTTTAGGGTGAAATAATAAAAAGTACTCCAGAATTTATCATGCAATTATTTATTATGCATCTCTGTAACAAGTGCTATCTCCGTTAACACTAAGAGATTTTATACTTGAATTTTTGTAAAATTACATTATTATCTCCATCTGATATTATTGTGCTTAATAAAATACGACTTCGTACAATTCGATTAAATAATTGTAAGAACAAAAACATCGTTATTTATTGTTCCTATGGTTTTAATTCATCTCACACTTTTTACACAACCATGATACTTTATCTTTTCAAAAAATATCTCCACACGCACTGGTTTCTTCCAGAGAAAATGTACAAACGACTTTTTTGTTACTCTTTATTATGAAAATATATGATTTGTAGTCATTTCATTTTGTTATTAAAAATTTATCATTTTACGAAAAAAAGCAAAAAATTATATCAATAGCAAATATATATTTGTATATAACATTCATGTGCTTCGAGTGTACATTGATCACACTTGTATTTATTTTATGTTGTACACGTATAGTTGAACCAGCGCTTCAACATCAATACACCCTGATAATAATCTACTATTATCACATTGATAAAAATTCATTTAATTGTTTTCAGATGTCTTACATTTAAAAATAAATTCAACATTAAAACTACACTTTAATCTTATTTAACAACGTATACTTTCATCATCAAGGGCCGCATTTGGTTATTCATCAACTGAATTTCTTTTTGCACTATGCGTAATTTTATTTTCTAGCACGACATTGTGCTTTAATAAAGTTATTCAAAACAGTAGAATTTCTCAACATTAATTTAACAATAATTTCAAGATAATACCCGTCGCACGACGTCTCTCCGTATTATTTGTCAGTTCCAAAAACAGCAAGGAATGTGAGATATACATATATACCACAAGTATAATGTATTGACACAACGTCGATTCGAGTGCTTAGGTGAGTAAATACAGATTCAATCGACAGTACCAGCGACGACGACGTTGGGTCCTACGTATATTTTAATGGGGGATATTCTGCCGCTAGAGGCGCTCGACATCACATGGGGTACTCGCATGTATTTCGTATATCTACAATACTATGATGCGTACGCACTCGCATACAATATAAGTAGATATGCTAAGCCATGTTGGGTACCTCATGTGGCGAGGAGCATCCCCTAGTGGGCCCGTAGTATTGGGATTTAACATTTGTCGTGGCACCACTTATCAACGGAAAAATAAATAAATATGAGCAAACTCGCAACTTTTCATTGTCAGTATATCCATACACATATAGGAAAATGGTGCCAAGAACCCGAGAAAATCAGTGATATCGGAGTTCAATCACGCCTTCTGTTAAATCCCAATATATTCGTACATGTAATTATTCAAGCATTTTCAGCTAAGGTAATGAACTACTTGCATTATACCGTGATGACGCGATGATCATATAGTATCCTCGTACATCAACTATTTGGCTCTCGAAGGGGGACACTTTTACTAATCGCAGGGAGTGGAGGGACACGAAAAAAAACGTGCGAATATACCCCGCTGTGTGAATCCTCTCTCTCTCTCTCTCTCTTTTTCTCTTTAACTACATAAGCGGGCGCTCACAAGATCCTATTCGTTTATCCAAAAATACGTGTGCGCATACGCAACTTTTTTCTCTCTAAATACTCCATGATCTATCAGGTCCCAGAAGTTGTGCATAATACCGCAGTGTGTCTCTCGGTAGCAGCAGCAAGGTTAGGTCGCGCGTATCATACACCCGGCAGCGACCGGCTTCTGCAGTCATTTGTGCAGCAGCAGCTTACTGGTTGAGGATGCAAGTACGCACGAGGGCGTTCGTCACCGAGTACGGGTCACAGTTGCTGCTGGGTCTACGGTCCTCGAGGTAACCACACTTTTGCTCGGCACATGACCTCGGAATCCGGATGCTCGTGGTCCTGTTGGCCACTCCAGCGCTGAAGTCGTGGATGCTGCTGGTCTCACAGATGCCGGTCAGCCGGCGTTCGTTGTCCTTACCCTCGCGTGGGTCGTAGGCACGGATGTGCTCGACGTGGCGATTTTTCATGCGATCGATCGCCTGATCAATTTCCTCTATGCCGTTAGGTGCGCGCATCGTCTTGGTCGAGAAGTTGCAGTGGGCGCCCGAGCCGTTCCAGGTGCCTGAGATCGGTTTTGGATCGAGGGTTACCACCACGCCAAACTCTTCGGCGATGCGGTGCAGGATGAACCTCGAAATCCAGAGGTCGTCGCCGGCGTTGATTCCCACACTTGGTCCAATCTGCGAAGAAATGGGGAGAGGAATCGTGGTTTAATTTTACTTTAATTTTTGAAGGTTAGAATCGATTGGGTAAAGGGACTGAAGTTGGATCATTGCATAATATAAACGAAATACAGAGAGTATCTATAAGTACACTATAATCTATGCTTTGTGGTATTCAATTGTACACTAGACAAACCTTAATTGGTTAAGCGGAAAATTAAAACATTTAATTCCTCTTGACTGGTTCCATAACATAACCTCTTTTATGAGATTTCATACTTCGCGCATAACTAATTAAGGTTCGTATAGTGTACCCCAGGAATTCTAAATAGTTTAATTGAATTTTAACAGAATCTATGTCTAAATGTAGGAATTCATTACACTCTTCACTGTTTATTTCAGTCGATATAAGGTAAAAGTAACCCTTGGAACCCAAAGTATGGCCCTCGGAATGGTTTTGGTCAAATTTTTTTAACAATTTTTAAAAAATCAATATTAACTCAAGAATGAATATTTCGTTATTTTTTTATGCGCTTCGTCTTCATTAATATTATGATTTTTAAACTAAATTTGGGTACTATAAAGTAACTTTTTTAACAAAAATGTGAACAAATTAACAAATACCTCCCACCCCTTGAAACAGCCACTTAATTTAAATAGGTTTCATGTATTCTATAGGAGGACATTAGACATTAGAAATTAAAAACTATGTTTTATTATGTCCCCCATCTGGAACAGCTTCGCTCAATAATTTTTTTTTTTTTTAAACAATACTAGGACTAGTTCAATAGTTATTGTGGTTTGTATTAGAAAGATTATAAATAATTTTTTTCTTAACCAAAAATCTCAAGAACTTGTTTATTATTAGCTGTTCTACATAGGGGGTTCATATTTTTCAAAGCCTTCCAGATTAGTCCCTTTAACTCAAGTGACGATAAAAAAAATATTTTAGCTACTTTAATTGAATTGTTTAAAATTATCATTTATAAAAATCAACAATCAATAAAAATTCGTTATCTAAAATTGCCTCAATTAAAAAATGAAATTCGACGAAATTATTACAACAGTTGTCTTTTTTCATTAGTAACACGAATCAGGATTTTAATCTGATGTTTGTTCGCAAAGCAATTAGAAATGCTCGGGATATTGCCAAATAAAATTAAATCTTTATTGAAAATTTTAATACAAATTAGAAAATTAAATTGTTACGATTTAATTCATATAAAATCATCATTAGCTACTGAAAATAATCTGCACCACGTCGTTGCCTTCACATAATCAATTAATTAAAAAATTCACGTATCTTGAAAATACTAGATGATCGAAGCAACACTTCTTTTGCAAAGAAATAATATTAAAACGTGATATAAGAAACATGAAGCATCGCGATAATTTAACATGTACTTAAGCTAGTCATCAGATTCTTTTGTGAAGTCTACAGTTCGTTATAAATTTGATCAAAGTGATTCACCGTCAAAACACTTTTAATCTTGAGAATCCCATCACCCTTAGCGTCGCAGATAAAAAAAAAAAAAAAAAAAAAAAAAAGAAAAAGAAGATACAAGTGCAAAACAACGAATCGCGTAATAATCAACGAACGACGTCACATCAATATCAAGAGACACGTTGGCCTAATATGAAAGTCGGCCACAAAGACAACCGGCCGATTGAAAGTCAAGATAGGATACAACAGCGAGACGGATACAGAAAAATAGAGGCTCACCTGGTACTCCCACTGGGAGGGCATGACCTCGGCGTTGGTACCACAGATGGGGACCCCTGCGTAGAGGCAGGCCCTGTAGTGGGCCTCGACGATCTCACGGGCAATGACCTTATCGGCGCCGACCCCACAGTAGTAGGGCCCCTGGGGCCCGGGGAAGCCATTCTCGGGCCAGCCGAGGGGCCTGCCATCGACGTCCAAAAACGTGTACTCCTGCTCGATGCCGAACCAGGGCTCCTCCTTCTTCACGGCCGGCGAGTCCATGGCCTCGCGGCACTTGAAACGCTTGTTCGTCGCGCAAGGGATGTGGTTGAAGTCGTACGTCTCGCAGAGCACGAGGACGTTGTTGTTGCACCGGAAGGGGTCCTTGTATATGGCCACCGGGTGCAGGAAGACCTCGCTGTTCTCGCCGTGGGCCTGGTACGTCGAGCTGCCGTCGTACGTCCAGATCGGCAGGTCTGCGAATGTTCGTGATTTTGTCACGACGTTATATTATGGTGTATACAATTATTTTTTTTGGTCAATTTGATACATTTTTTAATCCATGTTATTGAAAAGTTTATTTATGTTGCGGTTGAATTGTAGCATAAATCTTTGATAATTTTTTTAACGTGTACCGGTTAAGGAGGATAATTCGGGTTCATGCTTTTTTTTTTAATTTTATTTTTGCGTATAAGTTTTAATTCGCACCGCGAATGTATTTACATCGAATTTGCGTCACGCTTCGTTACTGATTATTTCGTTTTACTTCGACACTACGTAATCGAGTTTATGTTATCGACTTTGCTGTAATCTTTAAACACTTTATTTCATAATGTCAGTTCTTGTTAGTTTTTTTTTGTTTTACGTTTTATGCTGTAATGATTAATACATATGTCACTTTAATTGTCATTTTCAGACATCAGATAAAGCAAGTACGTTAGAGATTAGTTAATAATTATCCAAATCATTAGTGTAGGTAATAATAATAATAATAATAATAATAATAATAACAACAATAATAAAAAAAAATAATAGTTATAATAATAATGATGATAATAATAATAAGGTTAACAATAATAACTATATCCTCAAGTTAGATGTTATAAATATATGAAGAAATCCACAAAAAATATCCCATTTTTGTCCTCTTTTTTAATAAAAAAAATTTTTTCGAGGCATACCTTTAAAACCGGGCTCATTTTACTTGTAATGCCATGTATTATGAGAATAAACTTTTTAAACAGTAAAGGTAACACCCTTTTTCAGTGATTTACCTACATGTTAAGATTATGTGTATACACTATGAAAAAAAAATTAACAATAGAAGCCATAAATAAATTTCAGTAAAAATTACCATTCCGCACAGTAAATCGAATTCAAGCTGGCAAAAAAGGAAAAGTTATTATTTTTAACGGTAAAGGTTATTGTTTTAATAGTAGAAATTATGTTTCGAAAAGTAAAAATTATGGTTAGAACAGTAAAAATTTCGATGCGGGAAAGTAACATTTATTAACTGATCCTGTTAAGGTTAACTGTTGCAACATAGTAATTTTTACTGTTCTAACCATAATTTTTACTTTTCGAACCATAATTTTAACCGTTAAAACAATAATCTTTACTATAAAATTTTTTTTTTTGTCAGCTTGTATCCGATTTACTGTGCAGAATGTTAATTTTTGCTGAAACTTCTACATAATTTTTATTATTTTTTTTCTCTCAGTGTACACATCATTTACATACATATAATTCACGAAAAAAGGGTGCCACCATCACCGAAACCCGTGCTTGATATTTTATCTTCATAGTATGTGACATTGCGAGTAAAATGGCCTTATCTCGAAGGTGTGTCTCAAAAAAATTGTTGTATGAAAATGGGATATTTTTTGTGGATTTCCTCACGTATTTCAATGGTTCTCTTATTTGTTGTACATTTTTGCTCTTATGCTATTTTAAAATAAACCAGGTAATTTCTTGCAGTAATAGATAAATATTTTTTTCCAATAAAAATATTAAGGCCGTAATCCCTATGGTATAACATTTAATAGCAACGGATGAACGAACGATCATGGAACTTTAAACCCGAAAAATTCAAGACACGCTTATCGTCGTCGAACAAACGAGTTCTAGTATGCAAAGATAAAGATAACGCGCTTGACGCAAAAGGACGTTACGTTACGATCATCAAACAGTAAAATACAGACATTTTGAATAAAGCAACAAATAAAATAGTCATAAACGCGACCCAGATCGTACAGGGTTATCGGATCGATATAATTAGCGATTTGCCTTCGATGGACTTGAGCATCATTTTATTATTTTATACGAATGAAATTTTTTTTCATCGTTATTATTTGAAAAACAAACATTCATTAAATCGTTTTCAGCAAGTTTTAGGAACTACATGACAAACATAATTATTTTAACAAATATTTGAATACTTTTGAAAAAAAAAAATGTTTTGTTGGAAAAAATTACATTGTCAAGTGTTAGAAAAATTAATGTGTAACTCACCGGCCGGCTTATTGGGGATATTGTTGAGGGTGCGGGTCTTGCTCCTCAAGCCCTCACCGGTACCGTCAATCCATATGTACTCGGCTAGGATCTTGTCGTCCGGCTGGGGCAGATCCAAGTACCTGTTGAGCAGCGTTTTGTCCAAGGCCGCGTTAGGCGAACTCCTCAGTATCTTCCGCGACATTCTGTTCGACCAAGATGCTCTTTACTGCCTCTGCAATCACACGGTTGATCGTTTGGTTGACAATGAACGCTCAAGTCTTTTATATTGGTCGCAATTGATTTCTACGTTTCATTTTATGTTATACTAATCGATTCCAGCTCAAAGTACACCAAAGATAATGTAGGTAAAAAATGCAATGGAGATACATTTTTCAAAAGCTTAAGGTGGTTCTTTCATGACTCCCGAGTCAAAGGTGCAACTGTCAAATTGATATTTATTAATGCTACTTAAATTTTAAACGATTATTCATCAATATTGTTTATTGAATCAAATTAAGTACTAATTAAAAATTTTAGATCATGATATATCCGATATGATTCATAAGAATGATTATGTAAAATTTGTGCTTATCCTCAAAATACCAACAGTTAATGCTTGCCTATATGCTTTCAACATAGGAAACGAAAATATATATGCCTGTAATTATTTTAATCTCTTTTGATTAAGTCCGCGAACATACATATTTCGAAATGGCAGTATGTTCAGAATTTCGTAAGCTTTATTGTGTCAGTTTTTTTACTTAATAATGTTTTGTAAATAAATAACTATACTAGCACATGTTTAGAATATAATTTTCATTTATCATTTTCTTGCGTTCATGTTCGTCAGCCTATAGGTACTCTAAAATTTTGAGGAGTAGTGTATTATAACTTAATAAATAATTCCTCAAGGTTTCATGTCATTCGGTTCATAATCATTTCATGAAAAAACCGCCAAGACTTTTTTGAATGCACTTTTTTTGTACTGTTGCTATTTAACAAACAAAAAAATTCTGAACAACAGTTTTATTTCATTTCCAAGTTCTTTACAACCAAATGTAATGTATACTAAATTGTTTGGTTGTATAGTTTAAACATTTTCTACGTCATTACAATATAGATTTTTAACCAATCACATCACGTACTTTTGGTAAAAATTGAAAAAATAGAAGAAGAACGAAATAGTTTCGTACGTGTCACAGATTTTCCGACTAGACAAGAAAAAAGATGTCATAGAGGTATGTGTATGCCCTTGAAAAGACAGTGTCTAATCTCAATCTCTTGGCTGTCAAGAACGAATACATCAGCTGTAACGTAAAAACCTACGGAATATACAAGCAGCGAAAATACCCATGGTATAGTGATTTCATCAATACGACGATCGATCGAGATAACGGATTTTTCATTCGTTGCAAATAAACCAATTACTTTTAAGCTTCGTCCGATTGTGTACATAAAAAAAGAGCTGATTAGACAGCTTATCAGTTACTTCATGTATGAGACATACGTTCCATGGATTTTGATAAAATGTCGTCGATAATAATTCTTGAAACTTTCTTTCGCCCAACCAATTTAAATTTTTATTCAAAATAATTTTCTGTGACACATTCTACGGGGGTACGGGATAACGCATCTTGAAAAAATATAAACTAATGCAATATAAATGTAAATATAAATATAAATGACACAACGACACTATATTAAAATTTTTTTCATAAATATTCACTGAAATCGTTAAAAAATAAAAAAATTAATCATAAACGTATTGTGTTGACCATTTTATGGATTATAATTTTTTACAAAACTTATCTTTCACTGTCAGGTTTAAAGTTTCATTATCTTATCGGAATCGGTAACTTGACAATGCCTCGGTGATCACGTACACCATTCAATTGAATTGCAATGAGTAAAACTTTTACTTTATAAAAAATATGAAGTAATATTGTTTTACAATAAAATTGCAACTCCTTGATTGTACATTAGATCTTTAGAAGTATCAATTAAGAAATTTTGAACAACAATATTGAGAGCATGAATGTTTTAACGCATCATAAAATAATTAATTAATAAAAATATCCTAAATAAAATGAAAATTATTTTTTATGTTGTAGAGACATGAAAACAATATTTTTCATTCATCTGTATAATTTGGATAGTTAGTAAAATTATGGTATAATGTTTAAAAAATCTTGTTAAGTGTTTTTTTTAATATGGTTTTTATATTATAATTAGTTAATTATATTAGTGTATAATAGTTGACAATATAGAATAAATTTCTAATTTAATGGAAAATTACCGTTCTACTGTAATGTCACATCGATTTTAATTATTTTTTGGTCTGCGGTTCTGTAATTCTTTAAACGAAACTCTTCTATAATTTTGTAAATGCAAAAATGTTATTGCATTTTGTATCAACCATAATTTTGGGTAAAGTAGAACAAAAAAAAAAATAACATTCAAAGCTTCCCACGAAAGCATCTCCGACGGGGAAAATATTTTTACAATATCTCAAAGAGCCCGAACAATACACATTTTCCGCGTCCAATTCTTCAAAAGACAAAATCCCTCGAGACCCACTCGCAGCTGGCGAAACACAAATACGACTCTCACTCGTTTGACCCTCTCACCACCCACTTCCGAGAAAATCTCGGCGACATTACAATGGAAAAAATGCCGCCTCGAGTATTACGCGGCCGAACTTTGATACTCTGTCAACCAAGGTTGTAGCAAGTTGATACGCTCGTCAGTATACTGCGACCTTGAACACCACGTATACACCTACAGCATTTTGTTGGCAGGAAGATAATCGTTTTTCCGATTAATCCGTGCCATTCGTGCATTTATTATTTACCCTATCGATTTATCGAGGATTGATTACCCTTTTTCTTTTTTTTTAACCTTCGGATGAATGCATAAGCACACGAACCTCGCGTTTCTCGAATTCAATTTTCCACCCCATCGATGTTGACGTGCATTCACGAGATTCCTCTTTTTTCCACTCCCGGCGCTTCTCTTCTTTATATATACTACTTGTGTTTTGATTACCAACTGTGCAAATGAGCATAGATACCGAGGCCGGAATCGATGCAGCCATTCCTCATTCTTCATACTCATTGAATCGAGACACCAGTGCCTGTACAACGTGGGTACACACTCGCAAATACACATTGTTATTTGACCAACAAGAATCGACCTTTGATTCTGATTGCAACGTTAACTTTTCACCATTTGTTATAAAAAAAACTTAATATCTATAAAATGACTAACAAACAGCCTCTGCATGACGCTCCGATCTGAATGCGATTTTTCTACCACCAAATAGGTTTTTCTCTCATAAATTTTGTTTTACCGTACATGGCTTTATCCTTACTTTAATCATCGTTGGAGATAATAAGTACAAATGGATGGGCACGTGCTATAAAAGCAGTACAGGAAACTTTTCTAATAACGTCGCTTTTTTGCGAAGAAGCATTGTTTTTCCGAGACGTTTAAATTACTTTTCTGGGTTTGAACTTAATTACCCTTATTTTTGAGTGTAGCCAAAAAACTAAGTTTCGAATGATCGCTGTCAATACTCAAAAAAAAAAAATTCTGACTTCAAATCACTCTTTTGTAGTGTTACACCCTTTTATCCAACTATAATTATTTTTCTGTTAATGTCCCAATAAAAATATTAATTTCTTTAGTTTTATTGGAAAACTAAAACTTTCAGATTTAAAATACACGTCATAGGTTGCCAGTCGCTTTTATTCCTCTGCCACTGACAGTAGCTCGTCTTGTCTTACTCGTCTCTTTCTACTTTACTCTGCAGATCAGATTAATGAGATTTGTCTCCTCGATCAGTACATTTTTTTTGTCTTATTCATAAACTTTTTTTTTTACCCTGTATTGTGTCATGTATACAGTGTAAAATCTGGTATATTTATTTAGCCAGATAGTGAAGAGCAAGTTTTTACTGTGGTAAAAATTTTTAAAAAATGAAAAAATTGTAGAGATACACTTTTATTGTAACCTTGATAAAAGCAGGAGTCGTTAATTTTGTCTATTTTTATACACAGTTTATTTATGTGGTGTCACATCAATTATAAGTACAATAAACAATTATTTTCGCATTTTTAATTCATGAATAAAAAAACCGTTTATTTACTAAGTTTTATCGTATCCTATTATATGTATTTCTATAAGTTAAAAGGAAAAAACACAATGCATTTTTACAAGAACAGCTAACAGTTTTACCTGTTAATGGCAGGAAAAAAATTTTTTTTGTTTGATCCTTCAGAGGAACCTGGTATTCTATGTGCATGAAAATTTTTAAGGTAACGTCTTTTCAAAATGAGACGCTAAGACATCATTTTAGAAAAAAATCTCATAACTTTTAATCAGTTTCGAAGACATGGATTTTTTGTCTTGATAAATGTTAAAAAACTTGGGGTGATATGATATTTTGGGGGTTGGTTTGAGTCCATTGTTTGCTTACAAGAAAATATAACTTTTAGGACAATTCTTTTTCGAGTCCCTATTTTCTGCAGTCTATTCAAAAATGATGTCAAAAAATGTTCAATGTTTAGAAAGTGCTTTATATTAAAAATGTTTTTAAAATTCATTTTACCCTGGAATCCGTTCCACCCTACATAGATTCCCTGATTGCTTAATTACAAAACACTTTATACGTATACTTTTTTTTTCTCACTTGCACAGAAAAAAGGAAAAAAAATTTCCTGAAAGTAGAGTTTTACGGGACGTGATGCGTCCCGATTCCGAGTCTCCATTAGTTTTTATATATTTATGTAGGAAATTACATAAAAAAATTTGTGCGTACCTTGTCCATCTAATTAATTGTTTCACCCAAAGACCATGTAAACTTTTCATGGTAATTTTCCAATTAAAGGAGATGATGGAAACCATACGAGCCTTACTGGGACAATATACTAAAGGTTAAATCGAAAGGAAGCCAGAAAAATGGAGAGTCGCGATTAACGCGCTATTGAGGTCGGTGTTTGTTGAGCGTCAAGTGTGGGGATCCGGAGAGAAAATTATTATGTACACGCTCGTGCTAATCACGCGTGATGGAACTGACTCGAATATATTCACTTCCGTGTTTTAACTGTACGTGAGATCGGAATTCAATGCCAAACTAGAAAGCATAATTTTTCTGATCCATTCATTCTTGCCAGATAATTTTTTTTTTTTTTTTTTTCGTGGATGCGCGAGTTTTTGACAATATTAAT